GGGTGCTTAAACACTGAGCTACATCCTCAGCCCTCTTTTTGTATTTTATTTAGAGAAAGCTTCTCACTGAATTGCTTAGGGTCTGGCACAATTGCTGAAGCTGGCTTTGAACTCCCCATCCTCCTGCCTCAGCCTCCTGAGCCGCTGGGATTACAGGCTGTCACTGCACCTGGCAGTAAATTTCTTTGTTCTATTTTATATACTTTTATTAATTAGAACCACAAGTTTCTTCCCCCTTTTTTTTCCTTTTCAAAACTTGTCCTGGCTACACTTGTGTTTTTATTTTTACAGATGAACTCCAGAGTCAAGTTCCAAAAGAAAAGAAAAATCCAAACCCAAACCCAAACAACAACAAAAAAACTGTATTGGAGCCATGCGTGTTTGCGCAAGCCTGTAAATCCAGCAGTTTGGGAGGCTGAAAAAGGAGGATTGCAAGTTCAAAGCCAGCCTCTGCAATCAAGAGGCGCTGAGCAACTCAGTGAGACCCTGTCTCTAAATAAAATACAAAATAGGGCTGGGGATGTGGTTCAGTGGTTGAGTGACCTTGAGTTCAATCCCCAGTACCAAAACAAAACAACAACAACAACAAAAAAAACTGTATTAGGATTGTTTTCTAATATCATTTTGCTTTAATGAAATACTGAGTCTGACAAAATGATGAAGACTGTGGAAGAAGGCGTCTACCCATAAGGATAAGAATTAAATTTATGTCAAATTGACATCAAAGATCTAAAAAATAATTGTATCTAAAACTTATTTTGTTCCTTTTTCCTAGCTTTGAGTAGAAGCTTTCCACTTACTATGTATCATTAGGCAATCACTTAATTTCAATGAGTTTTGATTCCTTATTATTTTTCTGTATTAGATGCCCTCCAACTTGCACATTCTATAATTCTGTGAAACATGAAGAACAATGGAAAAAAAAATGATTGTGTTGAGCTGTGAGAAGAAAACATACTTTTTTTCCCCCCCTACTGTAAGGGGTTGAACCTAGGAACACTCTACCACTGAGCTATATCCCCAGCCCTTTTTATTTTTTATTTTGAGACAAGGTCTTGATAAATTGCCCAAGCTCGCCTCTGACTTGAGATTCGTGTGCCTTAGTCTCCTAAGCAGCTGCGATTACAGGTGTGGACCACCAAAACTTCATATTCTTAATGAATGGCTTTAAGGATGCAAGAGTTGCTTCACTGAATAGAAATTAACCATACATAAATATTTTTAAACAAAGAGGTTATGTAATGAGTGTTCAATAGGTATTATTAGTGTCTATCTACCAAATCCTGTGTTTAGAGAGCTAAAATAAACAAAAGAGTGATTAGCATGCTATAATGGAAAAGAAAAATGTTAAAAAATCAAACTGACACATAATTCCTTACTCTTTGATTTCCAAATATATTTGAGCCCTTGATTTTTGAGTCTGTAAAGGAGATCAGAAAATCTACTTTGCAATATTTGTGAGGATTAATTTATGTGAAATGGTGAATGAATTCTTGGCACATAGTAGGCAATGAATACCTGATAATTACCTTCATTTCCCCCTTCCTTTCTCATAGCTTTAAGGACTTCATTATTTGAGGGAGCAAAAAATGATACACTACTTAAAGATTTTATTTGTGATTAAATTAACTTACCAAGTATTCTATAATAGTAACACAGAACCCAACAGTGTCCTTTGTGCCAGTATTATTGAAAACAATGATCAAAATATACAGAGAATAAGTGTAAATTGGAAGGTTTTTATTGCCCAGACTGGTTTGGAACTTGCGACCCTCTTGCCTCAGCCACCTGAGTGGCTGGGATTACAGATGTGTGTCACCAAGCTTAGTGAAAAATGATTACTTAACCAAAAGTATGAGAAAAGTAGGAACTTTAAAATCACATACAGAAGTAATGGCTTTTGAAGGTAAGTTGTGCTTATCTTACCTGAGACTTGGAGCTAAAACATTGAGATAAATTTCAAACATTATTTCAAGATAGATTGTAATTTTGCACCCTCATAAATGATATATTAAATATGTAAAAAAAATTCTTTCTTAGAGATCTTGAAATATGACTTCATGTCCCAGAGGACATGAGTTTGCTTATTTAGTCTATATGGAGAAGTTCACATGAAGTGTTCACTACAGTTATAATTGTTACTCTCTAATGACTTAAATATTCTGTTTTACCATACCAGTTCATCTGAAAAATTGTAAAAATGAACAGATTTCAATGATTTTCATTAACTCAATCAAGTAGTGAATAATTAGTGGAGGATTTCCATGAGGTACACAGTCTCATCCTTGATCCTAATAACTATGTGCCATTTTATAGGTGCTGTGGTTTTTTTTCCTCTTGTTTAACCAATCGTGGTGGCCAAAAAATTGTATATCTATATCCTTGAATCTGTAGATTCTTTTTTGTAAAAAAAAAAATGCTAATCATATATTCTACTTTTTTTACTCTTTATTTTATTTATTTATTTTATTTGGTTTTGAGGATCAAACCCAGCACCTAGCTTGTGCTAAGTGAGCGCTCTACCACAGAGCCACAACCCCAGCCCGTGTAGATTCTTTTGAGTGTGAAGAGTACCTTTCTACCCAGCTACCTAGAAATTGGAATCATAGATCTTCACAGGGGTAGAAGGACAATTTCATGGGGCTCACCTGGGAACTTCTTAGAACTATAAGTTAAGCAGACTAAAAGAATTTGAGACTCTGGTAGTGGGGCCCAGCAATCTTGTTTTGCAAGATTTCCAAGTGATTCCAATTCTAAATTTTAAGAACTTTTGATCTGCATTTAACCCTTTGATTTTTAGATAAGGAATCAAAGATTCTAAGAGGTTGTCACAAATTAATTAGAGAAAGCACTGAAATCTTCCCTTGCTAAACCCTAGTATGATGAATCTTCTTGCAGGGAAATCTGTTTATTAGGTTAATTGGTAAGCAGTATTTGAAAGAATGTGAGGTGGGGAAAAGTCTTGTAGGGAAGGTATCTATCTACATATTACTTACCCTGTAGGCTTCTTAAAAGTTTAAGAACAGTTTTTTTGACGATGTTTAGTCTGAAAGGAGTTTGCTTGATCTAATATTTGTTTTATTAATTTGATTACTGAATGTGGGTCTTATTCCCTGAAGCAAGTTTATGTGCCATTCATATAACTGCTTCATTACTACTCTCGATCAAATGATTATGTTGAATGTGATTGTGATGCTGCAGCTTTTTAAACAAAATTTTTTGGTGTGTGTGTGTGTGTGTGTGTGTGTGTGTGCTGGGGATGGACTGAACCCAGAGCCTTTAGCAAGCTAAACACAAGTGCCATCACTGAGCTACACACACCCAAATTCCAGCTTTCATTTGCTTTATTTTAAAATTATTTTCACTGGAAACATTCCTCATTTATATACATTAGAGATTCACATTTCAGAAAGAAATACTTCTTTTTTTTCATGTTTCCCAGCTTTCATTTTTTAACAAGCTCCCCATTATTTATGTTAGAGAACAATTACACTAATTTAGAAGTCGTTTAAAATGGTTAAGAATAAAACTTGTTGGACTAGATCAACATTTTTTTAAAGAGAGAGAGAGAATTTTTTAATATTTATTTTTTTTAGTTTTCGGTGGACACATCTTTATTTTTATGTGGTGCTGAGGATCGAACCCAGCGCCCCGCGCATGCCAGCGAGCATGTTATCGCTTGAGCCACATCCCCAGCCCTAGATCAACATTTTTTAAAAATATTATTTATATTTCCACAATGAAATTAAACATTTTGCTAAATATACATATCATGTAGCCAATAGAACAACATTAGGGTTTGCTCCAGAAATTGGTTATGGCATAGTACTAAAATGATTTTTTGGGAAAGTATAATAAAGTTTCATCATCTGAAAAGAGAGTGAGAGAAAGAAAAATCATTGTAGGAAAGCCAAGAGATCACAAGAGTAAGAGGTTAAAACAATGGATCCTGTTGTAAACCACTGTCTAAGATAATACAGCCCTGGACTCCTTACAATACAAGTAAAGATCATAGCTCCATTATCTCAGCAGTTTTCAGGAGTTTGGTTTTTCAAGATTATACTGTACGGGGAGTAGTCAGATTAAGGAAAAAAAGATGTAATAACCGGGGAATAAAAACAGCTAATACCGCTTCAGAATCAGAATTATCAACCCTACCTTGACTTAACGTTCTCAACGTACTTAAACATCTGACAAGGTGTGTTTATTTTATCCATATAACAACTCTGTGAAAAAAGAAAATTCGCAGCAGCAAAAACGTTTTCAAAATTTACTGACTCTACGAAAGAGTGAGGTTGACAGAACCAGAGAAATAACAGCAAAGGCTATCAGTGAGAAAAGGCACACAGCGAGGACAAGCACAAAAAGCCCGGCCTAGGAGACAGGCAACCGGGCAGGGGGAAAAAGCTTTAGTGGGTAAATGAGTGCAAGTGCGGGAGTAGCGTGTTTGGGATTAGGAAACTGCAATTTACTCTGTAACGAAGGGGATGAGGTCCAAGATGAATGGGAAAATAGGTGGTGCTTCAAGCTGCAGGGAAGTTAAGTAAGTGCTCCTTTGATGAGGTGTGATCCTTTACTGAGGTTGGACTCAAGGATCGGGGCTGTTTTCCTACGGCCTGCAGTCGGGAACGCAGAGAGGCCTCGAGGGGTCGCTCAGGGCGTTGACCCCCTCTCGGGTTCCAACGCTGGGTGAGGAGAGCGCGGGCAGGGAGCCAAGGAGAAGGGAGGCGCGTTCCCGCCAATATAACAAAGGCCGCTGGGGGACTTCCCGAGCCGCGCAACCTGAGCTGGGCCGAAGGGTTAACCGCGCGCCCGGCTCCCGCGCGCATCCCGGCCCCCGCCCCGCCGTCGCTAGGAGACGCCGGAAGTGGGGGAGGGGCGGGCGGCGCGGGCGAGGGTGGGAATCTTTTTCGGGCGCTGAGGCGGAGGGAGGGGAGCGCGCGTGCGCGCGCCCGTCCGTCCGTGGCTGCGGTGACCGTCCTCACAGTCCGTCGGCTCGCGCCCCGCCTCCGTCCCCACCGCCCCCTCCCCTGTCGCGCGCTGGGGGTGTTTCTCGCTCCTCCCGAGTTACAGCCGAGGTTGCGGCTGCTCCTCCTCTCCCAGTCTTGGGTTTCCCTGGCGCTGCCGCCGCAGCTACCTCTGCGGGCTGTATGAGGAGGAGGAGGAGGAGGATGTGAAGATGGCGGAGCTGCAGATGCTGCTGGAAGAGGAAATCCCGGGGGGCCGCCGGGCCCTTTTCGACAGTTACACGAATCTGGAACGGGTGGCCGACTACTGCGAGAACAACTACATCCAGGTGCGATGCATTCCCCGGCTTGGGCGCGTCGGGTCTGGGGAGGTGAGGGGCGCGTGGGGGACCCGAGAGCCGGGGAGGGCGCTCGGGGCCGAGGCCGCCGCGGGGACTCGGCCGGACTGAGCCCCGGTGGGGGGCAGGGAGCAGGGTGAGGGCTGCGGCTGGTGAATGGGTGGAAGGCTCTGACCGCAGGAAATTCTATCTTTAAAACCTCTAAAATATCTGTGAGCTGGTTCTCCTTGCGGTGTGCGTCGCGTCCCGCCTCTTCGCTGCTTCTGCCCTCGGCTGCCCCCGCACTCCTGGCCTGTCAATGTTCGGGGTGGCGGAGGAGGCGGAGAGTGGCATTTTCTATCTAACGGAATCCTACTTAGATGGTGGTTGTGGGGTGTGTGTGTGTGTGTGTGTGTGTGAGAGAGAGAGAGAGAGAGAGAGAGAGGGGTACACTGACGAGTTGCTCCCCCGCCCCCAAATTCTGGAGGATTTTTAAGGGGCTGTGTTACTGCAAAGTGAAGTGCCTCATCTTTTTTTTTTTTTTTTTAAGGTAGTTAAGGTAGAAGAGCAATTGTCTCTTGATGGAAGTTAATTTCATTTCTATCCCTGTGGGGAATGGGAAGCTACATAATGAGCTGTCCCTTCCCCCGTCCCGTTAGAATTGATAATTTTCTTGTGGGAAAAAAAAGAACTGTGACTGACACACACACACACACACACACACACACATATTTTATATAGAGAAAAATGAACTTCATGGCTTAATCCCCCCCATGTTGGTTTGGCACTGGGAGTCAGCAGTAGCATCGTGTGTGTGTGTGTGTGTGTGTGTGTGTGTGTGTGTGTGTAGGCGGAGGATATTGGTGAGATGTGATCCAGCTGGTCTTGGATGAAGCAAAAGATTTTGTAGATAAAAAAAATCCTTCTTTAAAAATTATTTGAAAGAATAGTTTACAACGCACAATTTTGCAAATCATTTGTTTTCCTTATGGCTTAGTCTGACTTACAGATTCTGTTTCCTTTTTTTCTTTCCCATTTAAATTCTCTAGGGATAAAGGTGGAGATGGAAGCAGTGTGTTAAACTGTTTCTTCATAGTCCCCTCCCCCCATGCTCTCATTCTCATTTCTGCAGGCATCCTTGTTAACATTCTCTATAATACAAAGCATTCGTAAATCTTAGTATAAATAGAAAAAAATAGGTGTTACAGTTTGTAGGTTCATGGCTTTTATGAGGACCACATGTTTAATCAAAATGAGATTTTACTTATTAATTAGACATGTACTGAACTCTGTATTATCTTGTAGGGAATATTTGTATTCTAGAATGAAGTAGACATAATCCAACCCTTTCCCTCCAAAGCAGTTGAAAGTATGTCCAATAGGAAAAGAATGTGTCTTGGGTCAAAGCCTCATACAAAAAAAAAAAAAAAAAATAATAATACAAATGTCCATATTTGTAGAGTATTTTGCTGATACTGAGTGGTATAGGAAAAATTCAAAGGTTCATTTGCTCAATTTTTCACTAAATGTAGTTGGAAGTCTTTATGTCACGTAGTTGTGTCAAGGGTTGATGGTACACATTTAGTGTCTTCAAGGTTTTATTAGTGTAGTTAGTAGGAAAGGCTGATCTGTGAGCAGATTAATACCATATACAGTCAGCGCTCCCCATCAGAGGGTTGGTGAATTCAGTCAAATGTGATGGAAAATATGTGAAGAAAAAATTGTCTCTAGTAAACAAGTAAGGCCTTTTCTTATCTTTATTCCCTAAGTGATACAGTATAACAACTATTCACAAAGCTTTTTACATTGTATTAGATAAGTAATCTAGAGTGATATAAAGTATGTAGGAGAATGTGTGGTAGGTTAATTGTAAATATTATGCCATTTTATACAAGGGACTTGAGTTTCCAAAGATGTTGGTATTTGTGGAGGTCTTAGAACCAATTTGTGGTGCAATCTGAGGGGCAATGCAGGTGTGGTTAATATATACTCTGTAGTGTACTATGGGTGGGAAGGAAGACTCTGGGCAGCTGTTCTATCCTCTGGGAATTCATGGTCTCTGGAAGAGGCAAAACCAGAAGGACTAAAGTGCTTAATTCCATTGCCTTATGCAGCTTATTATGGGAAAAAGTTGTGGGTCAGAAGAAAAATTGGGGATGGAAAAGTGATTGGATTGCAGTTGTTACCAATAAATAATAAAAAAGAAACAGATCTATCTGCCTTCAAGATAAATTTTATTATAATTAGGAGGGTTAGTTCATCTTAGATGAATTACGTGAACTTAGATTTTACATGAAGGTAAAAGTACTTGGGTTGATAAAACTGAGAGGCTAAAGGGATCAACAGTTGTTTTTCTGGTATTTTATACATTTATACATTTATTTTCCCCTCAAAAAGAAGAGTGTTACTGCCACCAGTTTCTAGCAATTGGAGTAAAAATTTAGTGTATTGGTATTTTATTTATTTTTTATTTTGGTACTGGGCCTTTACACATGCTTTGCATGCACTTTACTGGTGAACTACATCCCTAGCCCAATATATGTTGGTGTTTTAGTCAGCTTTTTTGCTGCTATGACTAAAGGATCTGATCAGAACAACTATAGAGGAGGAAAAGTTTATTTGAGGATCCCAGTTTCAGAGATCTTAGTCCATAGAAGACTGCCTGGCTTCATTTCTTGGGAGATGAATATCATGGCAGAGTGTGTGACAGAGGGAAGCAGCTTACATCATGGTGATCAAGAAGCAGAGAGACTCCACTTTCCAGATACAAATATATACATCAAAGCCACACCCTAATTCCCACCTCCTCTAGCCACACCCTACCACTTCAGTTACCACTCAGTTAATCCCTATCCTAGGATAAAAATCAATGATTGGGTTAAGACTCTTACGAACCAATCATTTCTCCTCAGAACCATCTTGCATTGTCTCAAATGTGAGCTTTTGGGGGACACCTCACATCCAAACCATAACAGTTTGACTTAATAAAATAGTGTTTAGTTTTACATTATTTCTTCAATTTAGCATCTGAAACAGATTTTTTTTGCTTTATTAATTTATTTTAGGTACTAGAGATTGAACTCAGGGGCATTCTGCCACTGACCTACATCCTCAGCATATCTGTGTGTGTGTGTGTGTGTGTGTGTGTGAGAGAGAGAGAGAGAGAGAGTGTGTGTGTATGTATGTGTGTATATGTATATGTGTGTATATCTATATCTATATCTATCTATCTATCTATATATATGCCTTAGCATCCTGAGTTGCTGGGATTATAAGTATGGGCCACCATAACTGGCTAGATTTCATACTTTTCCTTTCTTAGATTATTATCTGTTTTAGGATCCAGTGGGTATATTTTTTTGTCCTCTCTCAGGATGATAGCTCTTACATAATTTGTTTGTAGTAAAATTGATAAATAGAACATGGTAATAGTGGATTTGTGCTGATCCAGCTGTACATTTGGCTTGCTTTTCTTTGTGACTAAAGAACTGGTGAGCAGTGGTTTTGATGCTGTCATCCTGCAATAGATGAAGTTAGTTGACTAGGATCAGGGAGCAAATGATATATTTAGCTTTATTATGGTCTGAAGCCAGTGGTTTTAGCCACTGTCTTGGGTTAAACTAAATCAACACTCATTTTATTGTACTGAATTTATTTATTTTTATTTTTTATTTATTTTTGCCTATGAAGCAGAAAAAAGAGAACTCTCATTATCGTATTAATGAATTTTTTTTTTTTTTGGTACCAAGGATTGGATCCAGGGAGTCTTAACTACTGAGCCATATCCCCAACCCTTTTTATTTTTTATGGGGTCTTGGTGAGTTGCTTAGGACCTCAGTAAGTTCCTGAGGCTGGCTCCTTTTCAGCCTCCCGAGTTGCTGGTATTATAGGCATATGTGACTGTGTCTGCTGTAATAAGTGTTTTTATGCAGTGTTAGGTAACTGGTACTATGCCTAGAAATATTTAAAAAATGACATAAATAAGAATATTCTAAGTGTGGATTTTTATTTAGTGTGAAATTTGAGATATATTTAAGATGTGTATTTCTTTTCTTCATTTATTAATATAAACATTGAATGTCCCCATTCTTTTAGAAACTGCAGGAATGAAAACAATTTTGATTAACTTGGAATGTACATTTTTAGGATTTTATCACTTGAATGTTTTAATTAAGTTTATTTTAACTTTGCTAAAGTAAATCTGAAAAAACCAACTTGTTCACATTTACATTTTTTCTTTTCTTTTTTTTTAGATAAAAGAAATTGCTGAGGGCTGGGGATGTGGCTCAAGCAGTAATGCGCTCGCCTGGCATGCTCGGGGCACTGGGTTCGATCCTCAACACCACATAATATAAAATAAAGATGTTGTGTCCACCGAAAAACTGAAAAATAAATAAATAAATAAATAAAAGAAATTGCTGAGCCTAGGGATATAGCTTAGCGCTCCCCTAGCACATGTGAGGCCCTTATTACTGAAAAAAAAAAAAAAAAAAAAAGAGAAAGAAAAAAAGGACAGAGAAAGTTCTTCTTGTGAATAGTTCATGTAGATACATAGTAAAATCCCATTGTCTCTTGTTTAAGAGCAGAATCACCCATAACATGAATTAACTAAGAACAAAAATTAAAAATTTACCTTAAATTTTATCTGAAATACTTTTGAACAATAGACAATATTAGTAGTAACTTTTTTATTTTTAATCAACATGGATACTCCCAGAATTAATTGGAAACATCATGAAAAGTTTATAAGGGGATAATAGCTTATTATCAATGTGATAAAAAGTATTAAAATGATATGAAGATTTAAGTTTTGTAGCCGGGGGCGTGGCACACACCTGTAATCCCAGCTGCTCTGGAGGCTGAGGCAGAAGGATGGAGAGTTCAAAGTCAGCCTCAGCAAAAGTGAGGTGCTAAGCAACTCAGACCCTGTCTCTAAATAAAATACAAAATAAGAATGGGGATGTGGCTCAGTGATTGAGCGCCCCTGAGTTCAGTCCCTGGTACCAATAAAT